TACATATTAACCTGTGTTGAAATTTTGCAGGAATGTAGCTCAATACAAGCGCAAACTACGGCTAAAGTTTCATAGAATTCTGATGTTTTTTTACGGAGTTATGCATGATCAACGAAAATTTTAAGGGGTGGTCGGAGACTTTTGGTCACCCACTGTAGCACACTTAAACGTTAATATCTCCCTATTGACAATGAACGCATTCTTAACATGACCTAATAGTCAGATCTGTATGTACATTATTTTTGATCTCTAAAAGCTTCGAAACTAATGTACAATGCTGACATGAAATTTTAAGAGGAGCAAAGGATACAAGCGCGTATTGTTAATTCAGCAGTACGAAACGACTACACGCAATTCCAACCATTACATTAGTGACAGCCACGAGTGTTCTTCCGTGCAATTCAGAGTTTTGAATTACGCGAAATAAATTAAAATGCTCTCGGATATTTACAGTCTGCAGCAGGAGGGAAGTATCAAATATATTGGCATGAAAAAAGAATTCAATAATGTGTTTATTATTATAGTAATTTATGCTCTATTTACGCACTTTCAAAAATAGAATATGGTTTTAAATAATGTTACACAAAGAGACTGGAGCCTGTACAAAATAAAACCCCCATGGACCTATTATTCCGTTACTTTCTCTGATGCGTGATAATCTAAAACAAGAAGAATTCGATAGTCCAATACAAACAGCAACAAGGTTTGACTCACATAGTGATTCGGAGAACGACACGCAATCCACGTCAGTAAAATACAACTCATCTTTTATAACTCGTCGAAAAAGCATACCCAAAGAGGCCCTCGGTTGCGACGACTCTGACAACAAGATGACGATTAATGCCAAACCTAGGAAGAAGCTATGGCTTCGGATAATGGCATTACTTGTCTTTTTCTTGTGTTTGGCGGTTTTCCTTGTGCCTAAAGAACGACTGAAATTCTCTCTCGATCAAGATGGTGAGTTTCATCAGTTCGCTCAATAGTAAAGTAACCGATAAAATGATAAGGAGGAAGCATTTCACAAATACTTTTTTTCCCTCATTATTATTCATTACCAACACGTAGACGGAATATTCGATGACGACTTGCCAGGTCCAATCTCAGATTCAGATCATCAAACGGATGATACCACATCCGCACCCCAAACGACCACATCGCCACTCACGACATCTCATTGCAAAAAACCATATCCTGGTCGCCCATTGATCCAATACGCTCTCATGATTGACGCTGGTTCCACCGGGTCGCGGATTCATGTATATCGATTCAATTATTGCAACAACTCCCCGCAGTTGGAGGATGAAGTATTTCATCATGTTGAACCAGGTTTATCGAGTTATGATGACAAGCCGGAGGCTGCTGCTGAGAGCTTGGACGTACTAATGGCGGTTGCTCTAAAGCATGTTCCCGCGCAGTTACATAGCTGTACGCCGGTTGCCGTTAAAGCTACCGCCGGATTGAGATTGTTGGGTTCTAAAAAGAGTCTTCGTATTTTGAATGCTGTTAGGAAGCGTCTGGAAAGTAGATACCCATTTCCTATTATTGCGAACGAAGGCGTCGCAATTATGGACGGTAGAGATGAAGGTAGTTAGCAAGTTGATTACGTACCCTCTTAAATTTCAACAATCACTGACCATCCCGATTTTAATACTCATACCAGGTGTATATGCTTGGATAACAGTAAATTATCTGTTGCAACGCATAGGCTCTGCCCATAAGCAACCAACGGCAGCCATTTTTGACCTTGGAGGCGGTTCGACTCAGATCGTTTTTGAGCCAGACTCTGCAGAGGACTCTGCTGTCGCACCAGGTGAACATCGGTATGAACTCCAATACGGCGGACATACTTATGTTCTCTATCAACATTCCTACCTTGATTATGGTCTGATGAGTGCTCGAAAACGGATAAAAGAATTTATGATAAAAATGTGGTATAACATTAAAAGTAAAAAAGGTTCTACGGGTGTAAAAGCTGAAGAATTAGATGAAACGACGCCGCATCCTTGTCTTCCAAAGAATTACACTGAAGAATTGCCTTTGAAAGATATACTGCCTTCTTCAGATGATGTTGCGACTATTGTGGGTACCGGTGCTGGACATGCTCAATGTAGAGCAGTGACTGAGCATTTGTTTGACAAGAACAAAGAATGTTCGTTATCACCATGTGCCTTCGATGGAGTTTATCAACCATCCTTGCGAGAGACATTTTCAGTTAATGATATTTACGCGTTCTCGTACTTTTACGATCGGGCTAATCCGTTGGGAATGCCAACCGAATTCTCTCTTGGTGAACTTCGGGAATTGACGGATGCGGTATGCGCAGGCGATGTCAGTAAATTCGCCCATTTGCCTGAAGCAACGAAGGCGTTGGAAAAAAATCCACATTATTGTATGGATCTGACATTTATCTATGGATTATTACATTACGGATATGAGATCCCGTTAGACAGAGAAGTCAAAATTGCAAAAAAGATTAAAGGTATCGAGACGGGATGGTGTCTTGGGGCAGCCATTGCTGTCTTGGATTCAGCGCATTGGTGCAAGACATGACGTAATCAATATTTATAGAACATTTAGAATAGAGACTGTTAGATGAGTGGATTTTATTTAATCCCTATTTGTACGATATAAATTTTGATTGTAATATCTTGAATGTGTTGAATGGTGACTACTCTTTGTTGACTCCATCTACCTTTTATTTGTTCCATTAATATAAACGTCACCTACAAATTTCACCGTCAACATTAAATTTTAAATATATTTCGTTTGGACATTTGATCCAATTTCTGAGCTTTTGTCTACGTATCTCTTGTTTAGCCTTTTGGTAGTTTGCGCTTGCCGCTTTAAATTTATAATATGGAAGAGATCTGGAACAGACTATGATGAGCAACAAGCGATTGTTTAAAAAAAACGCATGAATAAATGCACTCAACTTTAGAGAATGTGACGGCAAGGATGAAACCGGGCATTTTCGCAAAAGATCAATTACGCATTGAAACAAACAGAGTTTAGCTACTGAACTCCTAACAGAGGGATGATACATTATAATGAGAACTTGTCTGTGAGAAAACCCAATTCAGCCGTTGCCAATATATACCTTGTTTTAGAGGGATACTTTCCATTCGTGCCCTTGGTTGCTCCTTGTTTACGACCGGAGACGAGGATTTCTGCTGTCGTGAAGCCTTTCGCCCAAACCATAGCTAGATTCACATGTGGAATAATTAACACTCGTGCATATATACTTTCTTTATTTTGTCTTGTTTGTTTGTTTGTTTACCTGTGCGTGAGGGAACAACAGCATTCCCATCAGGCGTTCTCAATTGCAATTGACTACGTGACCATTCAAAGATACTTTTTGCTTTTGAGATAATCGGCCGATGCAACGAATAGCTTGGCGGAAGATCTTGTATATCAAGTCAAGGATATTATTGTTATTTCGCACATATTAATATCAAAACACCAAGGAGACTAGTCAATTTACGGTAAATATAGTCACCTTGCACTCCTTCACACCTCCCGTAAAAGGCTCTAGCCAGTGAATCATGATCAAACATGTCTCCAACGACTATAGACGACAAATAAATTGGCTCAATTAATTCCGAAAGCAAAGCAGACTGAAGGCCTACGACATTCCATAATGCTATTTTGTCACTACACGACATTGAAAGCGTAGGTTCGGAATCTGCTCGTCCTGGTTTAGTCCTTAGCACGCCTACTGATTCATAATCGATTCTTCCTCTGCGGAAACCATCACTATTTACGACACGGATGCTTGATCCCGCATAATGTGCTCCCGGATCGTTATCGACCAAGTAACGATTTTGTTTCACGTCAATGTATGCCGTTTTATATAGCTCTGCGTCATCCGATGACTGGATTTGAGCTAAACTAAGCGTCGAAGCATCACCGCCTGCATTCGAAAATTTCCACAATGATTAGGACAAAAGAACAAGCAGCTGCACCGCAGATGTAATATATACTCACAAGGGGCCTGGCTCACATACAAATGAAACGAGATTCTGTCACTCGCTAGTCGGAAAAAGGAGGTATGACCATCTTCCTGTTTCGTATTTGAAACTAGACTGAAATACCGTGACTCGGAAGTTAAGGCCAGATTCAGTTCATTGATCAAAAACCTTGTAATGAAACAATCTTGTAAGATAATCAAGTAAGCCGATTTTCAACGAATCAACAATAAAATAGAAACCTTATGAATGCTCTTCGAGCCAATACTTCGGCATGGCTATCGTGCACCAGTTCTCCATTATAGCTAAGCTTGCTTTGCGGGAGACATTTCAAACCCGCCCTTTCAGATGACGTCAAATTCAGTTTACGAAAAAACCGAACGGGGACGCTCTTTTGACAACTTACCCCAGAGAAATACATTGGACTTCATAGTCTCCTTGTCCTATTTTTTTTTTGTTTTACAAGCTAATTAAAGACCATTTCTTGCGAGTTTATAAACGGGTTGTCTACGGCGCCAAACCTTTGTCCCAAACAGCAACAATTCCCGCAACAACCGTCCATTCTTGTTTCGTCTTTTTTATTATTTTTCTATACTGTTCATGACACGAGTCTACTATGGTTTTCGTTAAATCTCTTGACATCCAAAGTTTATATGAATTTTGATTTATATTGTTTTAATTGTTGAAAACTGTCTAAATTAAAATTTAGAATACATATGTTCTGAATCAAATAATAATATTGAAATATTTATAGAGTAAAGAAAAAAAGAGAGACATCCCCGGTCGAACGTGATTACCTTATTTATCTACTTGTACAATTTGTTTATGTATATATTATCGACGACAATAAATTAGGAGACAAAGAGTGAACGTCAATAATAAGATATGGATTGCACATAATTAATAACAGCAACCACTATCACTACTTTTAAGCAAATTAACGGGACGCCCACGACCGTTGCCACGAGGGGGATTGAAACGGCCAACTTTGATCCCATTAGCCTGAATGAGAAGCGGATAAAAGAGAATACGAATTAGAGCAACGCCACAAGTTCCATCAGGCATCTTACTCTACTTTCGATAAATACCTCATTATTAACATCAATAATCCCGGCTTTAATCTTCTCATGGATATCATGCGCAATGTTTACAAATGCTTCCTCAACGTTTGCCGAAGTTTTTGCAGATGTCTCCATGAAGAATAAACCACGTTGTCTAGCGAATGCTTCGCCTTCTTCGTAACTCACGGCTCGCTTGCCTTCCAGGTCACATTTGTTTCCGATTAGCATGTAGGTTGTTTTTGATGTAGAGTGTTGGCGCGCATCTTCCAGCCACATCAAGAGGTGTTCAAACGTCTCACGCCTAAGTGCGGAGAATATATATCAGTGACATTTTAATCATATAATGAAAAAGAAGATGATATCGGTGTCCGACATCTATGAGGCTTACCTAGTGATATCATAAACTTTGTTTAATGTATGAAAATGTTAACAAATGAACGAATCGATGGTAAATCGCCGACAATAAGTCAATCTCAAGAAATTACCTAAAAGGGCACCAACGGCACCGCGATAATAGTTCCTCGTTATACTCCTAAACGATTCTTGACCCGCCTGTCGTAGAAGAATGGGGTTTAATTTGTGCTGAAAACACTATTGACAATACGAAAAAGAATGGTTTCTCACCGTGTCCCAGATCTGGAGCTTGATTCGTTTATCCTCGACCTTATCGTTGAAGAGAAATTGCGTTCGTCATTTCATGCACAGTTAGATTCAACAATATTATCCACAAATGTTCTTACGTTGACAAACCGAGCTCCAAACTCCACACTATTAGACAGCTGGTCGTGAGTTTAAAATGACATACTGTGAGAAACGAAATAAAACATGTAATGGTGCTTACCCGATCGTCAAGTCGTGTACGGATTGGAAACGCTTATCTGTGAATTGTAAAAGTAAACATGACTGTAATAATGTAATAGAGAGATCAGAGAGAGTTGGTTTCAGAAAGGTCCTTCTGTAAGGCGAATCTTTCGTTGAGATCCACAGCAAACAACCGACAAATGTTGATATTTGCTATTCATCACTATCAACAACACGTATGAATAGTGACAGTACCTTGCCGACGCCTGAAAAGCGAGTAAAAAATGACTAATCGAGTAAAACCATGTTTGCAAACAGTCTATTAGTTTTAATATGAGAAACATACCCGAGTCTCCGATAATAATATACTGTGTGCAGATCGGGTAGGAAACAATAACGTTAGTTAAAGAGTAAAGCGGAGGAAACATACTGGGACGGGAAGACTGTCATGTACCTTGATAATGTAATCGTATTGCATGTTCGACATGGCGGTTGATTATTACAAAAGGTTTTACAAGTGAAAAGAGTTGAAAGTTGAAAGAATATTTATCTCACGCAAATTTATTGAAAGAGTGGCGATAGTTGAGGTGGGAAAAAGCCTAAATCTGAAGGAAAGTGTCTACTCTATATCTTAAGGAAAATGGATGACTTTTAAGGGTTTATCAAGAATGATGTGTAACTTAACAGATCTTATAACTATCTTTGATTCGCTAACACGTACAAGGCCCGGATTTAATGAATAGCCTTTTGCTATACTATCGGAAGGTTAAACTTTGTCATTATTACGTAGAAAGACGTAAATTGTTTGTTGTCTCTTTGTAGAAGAAAACAAACACCCGTCTATAGCGATAGTGTCAATGATCTTCAGACCCCATTTTGTAGAGCAACTGTCAAAGATGTAACATTGACGAACAGTGTCGTAAAAGAACAAGTTAATTTCGTGTTGTTTATTATAATTATTATAAAATTCATCTACCCAACACCTGAAGATTGAAGAAAGGTTAGTATAATGTATAACTTCCCGGACAACACAGACGTCGCTTTGGATTGTACAGAAATTCCCAAAATAAAAATACAAAGTAACTTTCCCTGGCCAATCTTTTCTCATGATCTCAATGGAGCTAGTATTCCGGAAAGCAGACTATTCCCATTTTTACGTTAACAAAAAAAACTCAACGTGCCAAGCAATATATCGAATGCGAGGAGCTGTCATTCGCGCAGTGTAAAGAATTAATAGCACACACGAAACACACGAAACGCATAGAATCATCTGGTTGTTAAAATATACATTAAAATACAGATGATTATTAATTCCACCTTACCAGAAATGGAACTGCTCGTGTCACATTAAAGTGAGGAATTAATCAGGTGGCTTGTGCAATTTGCTTTCTTGTCAACAATGTCTCAGTGGTTGTCACCACCAGGTAAGATGTCAACATGAGAGTAGATTGCAAGTTGGTTAGTTCCGTCAGTTGATTAAATGGGAGCAGTTGACCCTTTTAGCTATGTAACTTAATAATGTCCAAGGTGTATACGATCTTTAATAAACTTAATCTATTAAACTACTATCATATAAACATGAAATAATTGTGCATATTTTGAATTGTGGTCGGTGATCTTAATTACAACCTTTTTACTCGCGAATTAGGTCAATACCCGTCGCAACAACCGCCATATACAACATATCCTGGCCACCCTCCTCCAGTTCCACCCTCTAATCAATATCTTCCTGCTCCATACCAAAGACCTCCTCCGCCTATAATTCCATTGACAACTGCTGTCGGCGATGCCTCCTTGGAATTCAACAACTTTGTGATGGCTTTGAGAGGCTCTGCTGGACCTGCTGAGGTGGACAATTTTCTCATTTATCTCGACATGCTCATGCGCGATTGTTCACAAAGTAATATGCAGGTGAGCGCCAATCTTGGAAATTCGACAGAAAATTTACTTAGCTCCCTACCTCGCTAGTTTGATTTAAACTGAGCTCGTTCAATGCTGAGTAAATAGGGAGGTAAAACATGGATTTTCGATCACTGTTCTGCGCCCACCCATTTCGACATGCTCGCTCGCTTCCTGAACGCTCTGGCCAAGACGCGGACCATGTTTGAGGACAATTTGCATTTAATCTATTTGATGAACGATATCTTATTTCACAGGTATCTTGTTTGCGAGTATTATTATTTGCAATCCTCCTATATGTGAAGCATTGAAAAATTGATTCGAATATGTCAAGCGTAGTGAGCGCCGCCAAGAATTTTGGATCAAAGAGTCTGTATACCCGCATATTCTTCCTTTGCTTCGTTCTGCTTATCATTTTAAGGATAATAAGGATATCCAACGGGATAAAGTCTTAAAGGTAAGTCTTGTACTGCAGAATGTAATATGAAAGATCATTCCTCAATTTAACTTTATAATTAATCCTAGGTAATATCTATATGGGAAGACAAACGATACTTTGATGAAGCGAAAATCACTTCCCTCAGGGAGGGCATTCTCACTCCACCGCCAATCCACACGACCAATCCACATGCATTTCCGTCAGTGCACTATCCAAACCAACCTGCTGTACCGCCCTATTATGGACCGAACCATCCGCCTCCCGCAATGTTTCATGGTCCCCCCCAACCGATGCCTCAGTCTGTACCACATATGCCTACATCCGTAGCTACTCCGCTGAGAAATCTTTCGGACCCTGGTCCTCCCGGAATACCCACACAGTTTCCCCCAAATCATTCGCCACCAATACCAATACAAGGAATAATGCCACGACCGCCTGTTACTGCACCTCTGCCGCCTCCAGCACCTGAAAAAAAATATCACGAACTGCCGGCAGGACTTATGGTCCCACTGACTTCGGTAAGAAAGCTCCGTACAACCAAACACACCATAAAATTATTAATCCCTTACTTACGCACAATTGCCCTGATGCTCTCAGCCCGAGAATGCTCCTTATACTAGTATTCGCGCAGCAGATGTGCGCATTCCACCTCATCGACCACAACCAACTCCAGAATTGTTAGAAGCTGTGGATAAATTTTACGAAGGTATTCAACTGATCGAAAGTACTACCAAAGATGGTAAAAGTGATGATGCCATACCTGGGACAGATAAACCAAAGATCGAACTTGACAAAGACGGTTGGGAAGTCGGTTTTCTCGATGATCATTATAAATCTATTGAAAGCCGAAGGGCCGAGGCGGCAAAAACACGAGAAGAAGCAAGAGCAACAGTCGAAAAAAATCGTCATTCCTCATATAGACACAACCGCGATGGTCGCGGTAGACGACGGTCTCGTGAGCGGAGTTTCAGTAGATCACGATCGTCACGATCGAGATCCTCTTCCGTCTCGCAGTCTCGTTCCAGACGACGTCGGAGACACAGTTATTCGAACTCTTCTAGAAGCCGAAGTCGGTCAAAAGAACACGGGCGTTATAGAAGTAGTAGTCGGAGTAGAAGTCAGAGTATGAGCAGGTCAGATTCCAGTTCGAGAGATCGTTACGGAAGTCGGGGACGGTCACTACAGAGATCAAAAAGACATCGCTCGCCGTCAAGGTCGATATCAAGATCTTCTAGGTCACGCTCGAGAAAGTATTTTTCTCGCTCAAGGTCACGAACAAGAGCAGTTTCCAGCTCTCGATCTAGATCCATATCTGATTCGAGGTCGCGATCCAGGTCGAGGTCGCGATCGTATGGAAAGAGTCGAAGTAGAAGTTACAGTCGTGAACGGCATCATTCGCGTGACTATCAATCATCATCCCGAAGGCGCTATCGTAGTAGGTCTTACAGTCGGTCTCGATCACGGTCGCCCGTTAAGCAAGCGAGTGGTCTAGGATTTTATGCTCCACCAGAGGAAGGAGCACGATCTGATAAGATGATATCTGACAAAAATGTTGGATTCCAAATGCTAAAGAAACTTGGTACGTTATGTTGATGTCTACTTACGGAACGCTTCGTACGTTGCTGATAATATTTTTAATCTACACAACCTTTGTAGGTTGGGGAGGTACTGGCACTGGACTTGGGTCTACTTCTGGTGGAATAGTGGAACCCATTAAAGGAGGCGAAGTCAGATATGGCGAACAGAAATATCTCGGGGTTGGTCTTCAGGGAGACGATAATGATATCTTTGATCAATACCGCAAGCAGAAAAGCTATACTTATCAGCGTAACGAGATTGGTCCCAAAGACAAGAAACCAGCGGGATGTTTCCGATGTGGGAAGGTAAGTTCAAATTGATCTTTCGATGTTGACGTGATCTTTATTTTTGCGCCAGCTGATAGATTTTTGGTTGCATTTGCCAGCCCGGACACATAGCACGGGAGTGCCATGAAATAGGACCCTTTCATTAATAAAACCGTCGCGAAATAGAGTCTAGGACATGTATTCTACTAATGACATTGTCTTTGCTATTCTTAATGCGGTTGCCATTGTTATTTTTATTGTGTTTGTCATTTCTATTTCTTTACTTGATTGTTGTTAGCACACAATGAAACAATTTTATAGAAACTTTGGCAAACAGTAGGGTAATACGGTATTGTTAATAGTATGCGTATGCTGGTAATTGTTCGTGCACACTTTTGACAGAAATAGAGTGCGTTTTGCTTATAAACGCCTATATAAATTTTGGAGTAAACGGTAATTCGATGTCTGGTGGCATCGTTCAAAAGACTTGTGCTTGTGCTAATTAATATTAATATCGCTGAAACGAAGGACTCTAGGTTTAAATACACATAACTTCACTTGTCTTTCATATGTATAAAAACTAGAGATTGCATACAATCATGTAACGGTCACAAGAAAATACATGTAAAGGAAATTTTAACCCATCGACCCGTGTGTCTTACATGATCGGATCTTTATTCATTGTGTTACGGATAAATCGTAATGTATTACGTTAGTATTAGTATTAGGGGAGTTAACGTTAAAGTTTTGGCACCACTTGTTGCGTAACATTCCGCTCAGTAGTACTAAAGTAAGGAAAGGCTAAAGCGGAGCAGAACGTGATCCTGTATTTGCAGTTTTATTGGCTGCCATACAAATTTGACCAATGGAATTGCGAGGGATCTGCTCCGCTTTAGACATGCCCTAAAATAAGTAATAATCGATCGACAAAAGCTATTATACCGTGCAAATTCTATCCCACAGGCATGGATTCGAATTTTCTCAAACTTCCATGGTTGTCAAGGACTATGTCTTTTGCGAATACGAAGGCCTCCAGAACCTGGCCCATGATTTGAACATTAGAGAATCCGAACGGCTATTAGAAGGATACCAGGTTTACATAGTCGAGCAATGGTAACTACCCCGATATTCAAGACTTTTTATCAGCAAAAGGGATAAATCATAATTGCTTTTTTACATGTCGCAATAGGATATCTGACAGAAAGAGACCATACAACACCGTTACCGTGTTTACAGGTGATACATCACACAAAGTAATGACGATTATATAACACATGATAGAATGTATCTTTTTCTGGCGTTTATCGTGTGTTGATGATAAACTATTTATTATAAGGCCAAGGCATGGATTCTCAGCGTTCCGGAAGACACATCAAATTCATATGATAAAGAATTGGAGAGGCTTTTCGAAAGCCTAAAAAATGACATGGCAAGACCCAAGAATGTAATAATGCGATTATGAAATTATCTTTTTCGAGATTCGTTCACGTTTTCAGAACCGTTTTTTTATATGTTTCCATTCCAAGACCGAACTAGGAACAATAATGGTTACCAATCTAAACACATTTCCACCGATGTTGAATACCGTGCTTGTCCCCGATGGAGATTTCGAGGGACAGAAAATGTACTTTTATATAAATCTGAATTTGAGGAAAGTTGGGTGTAGCGGGCGAAGTGCGTTGTCGTTAAAGAAACCGACGTAAGTTTTTCATACATTAATTATTTTTTGGCGGTCATGTTGATGGCTTTTTTTATTGATTTTTTTTTGTTATAGTGATGTACAACAAGAACAGTTCATCCACCTTTATCAGATTAAAAAATCTGAACAGATTACTTTTGAAGCCGCTGTTCTAGAACTGGTTAAGCTTGTGCAGACGGCTCTACTTTTCTTTGGTTTATTTCCTAAACAGCACATCGACGGTTTGCTATGTGATAACACCCAAAATGCACTTGCTACTTTTAAAACGAAATTTGCCCATATTTTGCAGGTTCGAGAAATATACCTGAAAAATTAATCAAAAATTAATTATGGGAAAAAGTTAACTGGACTTATAAAACTCTTTATCTCGTTAGATTAGAGATAACGCATTGAATCCAAACATACTTGATCCTAATCTCGTTGCGGGACTATTAAGTCTGGTCATAATTATCCGAAACAGATTGAATTCATTAGGATATCAGGTAAATACTGCATAATAGTTTTCTTTTTCGTTTGTTTACGCGCAAATTTTTTATTTCATTATTTCTTATCCAGGTAGCCAAGGATCCCTTTTCTGAACCAGACAATTTGATAACAGCGATAGAATTATTTCAGGTATTATTTTTGCAAAGATTTAAATGTGTTTCATGACATTTCCTGACAGATTCCTCTCTCTTGACAAGAAATCAGCAAAGATCTGTATAACGCGCTTTTTGGATACGCATACTCTTAACGAAATTTCCAAGATTTCTGAAAAAGAGCGATTTCCCGATGCTCTAAAGGTTCACAAAGTATAATATTTAAAACAACTTCTATTTGCATTCGGATATTATATATCCGCACTAACGAAAGAAAATTCAATTTAAACAAACAGGTGTTAAAATCAAAATTAGAACCAGGTCTTTTATCCAAATTGTCTTGTTGAAACGGCACTCTATTCTTTCAAGCTCTTATGCGAAATTTTTATTACAGGTCTTTTAAACCAGCAAGCAGACGTATTCACCACGGACATTGATGAATTTGCCAAGCAAGTTCATATAGAACGACTGAAATATCTCTGGCGAGGCAAAGTAAAGCAATCACAACAGGCTGATGATTGGTTTCATGAGGGAAAAGAACTTGGTAAAAGCATTCTTCGAGGGGTGTCGGGACGCACGGTAATTTGGTCATTTAAAGTATATCAATTTTTTCATAGAATCAATACTGTATCATTCATCTAAAGATATTTACTAATAGGCCAAGACGGGAGACGTAATTCGAGGTTTCAAGGACGGTGTTACTGGGTAAGATTGAATTGTGGCCGCAAATATTAAAATTATAAACGATTAATTTTACGTCTTTGAAAAAGATCGCTATCGAATTTAGTTGATAAAATACCTAAAGAAAAAGATTTAAGGCGTTGGCCTGGGATGCCTTCTTTTAGACCAGAATTTGGATCCGGTCGATTATTAAGGTATGTCAATTCATTTATCTATCAATCCTGCGTTTTTGCCGACTTTCGCTCGCCTCCCCCCGCTTGACAAGTTTTGCCATCGTCCAATACACATAGTCCATCGTCAAAACTAAAGCACCACAACAGTGGGAAACACTTTTCTTCGACACATGCCCCACACATTGACGATAAAGTCGACGATTCCGTTTCCGCCTTTCCTAAATCCTCTGTCCATACTTGTGATGAGGTCTCTGACAACGTTTTACAACGTCGTCATTCATTCAACATCGAAATACCATCACAAAGAACGACGTTGCGAAAAGTAAAATCGTTTACTGACATGGGCGCAAAAGATGAACTTTTACATATCAAGCCGGTTGTCGTCGACGTTAAAACGTACGAACTCTATGATAATCTAAAACGAAAAGAAATAGAATTGAAGAATTTAAAGATCAAGTTGGAGGAGGTTGCTGAGATGTATAAAGATCAGATAAACAAGCTGGCTAACGCTTATGAGATAAAGCAGAAAGAGTACAAGGTGAGTTAATAGTTGGGTTTAATCCAAAGAATTGAGAATCTGATTCGGGAAAAACCATTGTTAATTATAGATAGTTGAACAAAGTGCGGTCGCCATACTGGAAAAGCAAAAGTCGGTAGCCATGTCGGTAAAATCAAACGTCGAAGCCAGCAAGTCAAAAATAAATTACACAACCGAAACGATAGGTTTCAAATTGAATGAATTTGATGAGTTTGTCGTCAGATACTGTTTGGATGTAAGTTGAAAGATAGATTACGGAAGAGGGAGAGAGAATGGTTCCATCATTTGCAATAATCGTACTGATAATCATACCATCCGATCAAAAATAGATTGAGATTCTGGAATCAAAGATGCCTCAATCATCTCGTTCTGAACAGTGGTTATTATCATTCAAGGAATTTATTCAGCGTCAATGGTTTGGTCTGCTGCTATGGCATAATGGACAAAACGAAGTTGATAATGGCACGTAATGGGAAGTAACCTCTCGGGATGATGTCGCTCGTGACTAGATATTACACTAATGTTTGTCAACTAGATAGTATTCATTATAGAACATTCATTTTCTATTGCTATTGCTATATATCCGGCTTTTCTTAGTAGACTTAATGTTTGGGAATTCTATTCTATAGACTATACTTGATCTAATTAAATCGTCGATTACCTCATAATGGTACCGATTTTCAACGGTTTATTTTTCAAACCGCAAGTCTGATTATCTATTCCAACATGTCATGCCAATCGGTGCTTATCCCTCCAAATCCCGAGGGAAAGAGTTACAGTTTGAATGAAAGGGATTATTGTAAGAGCAAGATTCGGACTTGTTACGTCATACGTATCAAGATAACAGCGTCTCGGGATACACTATCAAAATGACATCAGTTTCACATACATTAGCTAATTTGTAACGATAAACAAAATTCCATGATTCTGTTTAGTATGCCAAGAGACTAATACTAATTCAAGTCAACTTGCTAATTTATTTAATGTATTACTAAAACCAGTATCGCAAACATTTAGACATTTACATCATAATCATAACCATAATGTTACGAGCTCCCCGCAACGGGGGAATATTCTCAGGACTTACTCTAAACGGGGGGGGTCTTCTTTAATTCGTAAATAGATTCTTTCATATTTACTGTAAGATGTAATAATACGACCAATTTTGGGATTGTCTTTTTTCATAATACAAAAAGTATCAGTTTGTTTCCAATGATGGGGGATTGATATTATTTTTATTATTACGACAACCGACTTAAGCTTAAAGAAGAAGAAGATAAAGATGGCGTATGTATATTAATATTAATATCAATGACACACTCGACGCAGATCTCAGGTTCGCAAAAAATCTTACATAATAACTCTGTTTAACAAAAGGTTGTTAGCGCAAGTTAAAGTAGGACAGATCATTACACTAAACACAACGATACTATTACGTATGCTTTGTTATTATTATTGTTTCTGTTCAGCAAGCACACACAGCACAGCGTCCTATGAATTTCAAACAGGTATTAATATCGCAATTGCTGTAGCTGTAAGCGTCTGATAGATTTACCCCTGACATCAGATTGGTCTTAGCACGAGCGTAACTGAATGATAAACAAACGCACATTTTAACTTGTTAACTGGGCGGTTAGATTATGCCAGAACCAGACTCTGTACAAGCTATCTGAGCTGACACGACAGGAAAACCCTTTTTGATGAGTATTGATAACGTTTGCATAGCGCCCAAGTATTAGTATGGTATGAATAAATGGTGGGTTTAATCCGAGCGAGTGATATACGCATATATACATATTTCTATTATATTCTGAATTGGATAAACTCTTTTCCCATATACTCTTGTTTATGCTTGACAACTTGTCCAGGACAAACTCTTGTTATTTTTAATTACCGGTACTTTGCTTATCGCTTATATCTGTACGTTAGTGTTTGGTTGACCCCACTGTCAAAGCACAGATCACTGCAGGTTTCGCTGAATTGGTCATTCTTATTGACATCAAAAAGGCGATAAAACTAAATCTGTACCGTATGCATGATTATTTTTTATATATATGATATTGCATCAATTTAATAATCTAAATGCTAAGTTATTAACGGGGTGTCATTGTTTCTTGTAGAGTGTTTGTTTATTCAACCAACTTATTAAGTTAATAATTACATCTGATATTAAATTTGCACTGCAGACTTTTTTCCATATCAGGCTTCACAGAGCGACATCGATCTCTCGATCGCACAGCCACCTCCGTCTTCTAATCTATACAGGGAAGCATATCGGAGGTGATGATTGAATGATGTCGTGTTACTGCATTATATGACCGTCCGGAGTGAGTCGCAAAAGCAATAATCAGTGATCTGCAATGCATCATATGTTCTATGAAATTACTATGTTTGATGTTTCACACGGTATAACAGTAACCGCTCTCTGATATAACAACATTTTTTCTTTCATAAAAACATATTTGTCTTACAACTGCGCTGGTGCACAGTCAACCCTTTCCCCCCCTTTTTCGCTGACGATAACACACACCTTCCGGAGGTTCGGAGTTCGATGTCCAGAACGTTACGATTTCGTAATTTATTTTAGCTGCATCTTTGGTTAATACCATCACCATTATATAATGTAGATCGACTGTCAGATGATGTCAGAGCTGACATCTGTCAACATGTCAAGCAATAAAACTTTTTTTTTTTCTATTACCCCACGAAATAAATATAATACGACACCTGATATAGTTAAAGGATGGAGAGGGGAACGGAAGGACTAAAAGATAACGAGAACTGGGTCTAATATGAAAGAAATCAAAAGGGGAGATGATGTTCAATAACAAGATTTGTGTGATGTTGCAGTTTTAGAGTGACATGTCAATATTTTGATATTATATAATTACGCACAAGACTCGCATCATGTGAAGCATCATATTGTAATACCGTCTAATCGGAACCCCGCGCAGCAATTGATATTTTTGTATATCGGTGCATGCATTGAAAGTTGGACATAATGTCAACAATAGCATCATTATTATCTTTATCACATGTTACCTTTGGAACATTAATCAACATCTATTGTGTAAGCCTCGCAATAATCACTTTCCCATCAAATTCTCATCACATACTTATCGCACAGCACAGTCTCATGATGATGGTGGGGGGGGGGGGGGGGGCGGAGGAAGGAAATGTGGAGGAAGATGAATGAGGCGCTTTCATCAAAAAAACCGTATATTTGGACATTGTTTGGGATAACTGTACTTGCTCGCAGACATCTGCATCTCAACCAGCCATAAAATTCTAAACAGGAATAACCTCTTCTCACAACAAACAAAGAATGGGCAATGGTCCTTGTCTCCACATACCGATGAGTGCAGCTGACAATGGAATAAACATTATTGATTGTTTACTCTACTGGACAGAAATCAGATTAAAAAGATTTACGGAAAATATATCAAGATGAAATAATAGCAGTTTACTCGCAATTATGAGCGAGAACCAATCATCATGGGAATACAATTACACGGTCTGTAATTTTAACTCATTTTGTGCGGTGAGAATTTGTAAGAGGGCGGGGCGGGGAGAGATGGGGGGAAAGACGAGGAGATGAAAAGTCAAAGGGATTTTTTTCTCACAGAAACTGGTTAAAGAACACCTCGACTATACAAATGTTATTATTAATTATAAACTAGGTTACATTATTGTTATTTGTGTTATCGCTATCGTAATCGATACTCATCGATTAACAAATGCAAGGGTTTTTTTTTCTTATGCCAACACAGATTGATAAACTGTACCTCAGCAATTGTACGACAAATAATATGAGTAACATCAGTTGCGCATACATATTACCGTACACAGGGGTGTAGAAGTGTCGGGGAATATGAATAGTTTAAACTGCATACATGGAATATGGTTTAACTAATAACCGTTACTGGCTGCCGTCTGCCGTCTGCTGTCTGCTGTCTGCTGTCTGCTATCTGCTGTCTGCCGTCTGCTACTCCTGCCGACATTGCTACCGTTATCCATTAACCCTACTTTATCTTTGTTATTATATTTTCTTTCTTTCTTTTTTTTTTCCCTATCCCTTATTCTTTCTTTGTCTTACCCCGCCCCACTTCTTACCAATGCACTTTGACGTTTTTCCCCCACCATATCCCTTTCCCAATATATCTGACTACTCCACAGTAATGCTGTACAAGTGCTCACTGTGGGGACAATGGGTATATGAGAATAATTGTTTGCAGACATTCAGACTTGATCGTAGAACAGAAAGAATTGTGTAACTCTGTACTACTCTGAGGGACTGTTTCATCTATCTGTTTCTTTCTTTCTTTTTTTTTTTTTCCCATGATCGAGAATCCGAAATGGGGTAGATATCAGTACAAAAGAGATTTGTAGATTGGGGGAGTTTTGTGTAATCAATAAATGATACATTTTAACTGGTATATTTTTAAAATATATGCATTGCAAGTTTTTATACGCATTTTTATACATGCATATAAAGAAAATTCATTTATCACATAATCACGCAAATATCACTCGCCTGCGACCTCTTGCCTTCACAATATATAAAAGACGCATTTCGTCTTGTCCCTCTTTTTTTTTTCTTCAGGATTCCTAGCGTTTGTCAATTCCCTTAATCATTTGTTCGGGTCATCATGTAGGGAAACGTTGGCTTCCTCACCTTACCACCATTACCACCCTTCTCACCCTTCTCATCATTATTCTCGAGACAATCCACCCCAACATCATATTTTTCTAGTGTGCGGTTTCTGAGTCATAGCGAAAACATCTAACGTCTGAGCTATTACTGTACAGAGTATATTTCTGCAGTTTTACTCCTCCCCCTCCCCAACTTCAGAGAGGAATTCGTTAGTGTATTTTTTTCTTTTTTATCCATATCATATCATCTTCCCCCTCCCACACCTATCATCCATCTTATATATACATCGCCAAGTTTTCGTGGTGACTCAGAAACCGCACACGTTATTTCAATACGCTTTTAATGACTTTCGATATGATACACGACTTGTTATCTCATCCTACGTCTGTCGCGTCGTTGGCACTTTCAAAGCGAGGGAACACAAAAACAAAAAAAAAAAAACAAAAAACTTATCGAGTGGCGTCTTACATCGACATACTTCACTCTCAAAGAAGGACGTTTGGCGCTCCACCCGCTCCACAAAAAAGCACCCTCGCTCTATAATCTTATCATCAGTTGTTGTCACCTACAAAACCACTTACGAAAATATAATATATAAACCGACATTCTATGTATTTAAATTTTTTTTCTCCGACAATACGATAATTTTCGCACTTATCGCGGTCATCCACGGAACTCGGTTGTTCACGTAATCGACTACGGAAGAAAAAAAAAAAAAGGAAAACATTTAAGGACATTACAAATTATATATGCCATTTAAACCGATTACCAACAATCGATTACATATGATTGAAGACATACCCCCCTCCAGCATACATAAATTCATCGCCAACCTCCGGCAAAAAGGCTAGATGGAAAACTTCCCGTGGGTGGCTCTTTTGTCCTTTCTCCAAAGAACACACAACGCACGGCCAAGTCCTTTTTGCAGACAAACGAGCATGTACAGCATTCCCAGCAAAAAATTCGTCCTCTCTCGATGAAACAAAGGTCTCTCTTATACATGGTCAATTTATGCGAATGGTACGCGTTTCACGACCAATACATGTAACCTTTCACCACCTACGATTTCAGCTGTCTATTTTTCCTTTGGGATTCAAAGATGGAACTGAATCATAAAAGAAAAAGTTTCTTGTTCTCTTTATAATGTTCCTACGAAACGTGTGTACCGATCGAGGAGGATTCTGGGATTATCTATTTTCTTTCCCTCTTCCGTTCCGATGAAACGAATTATTACAACAAAGGAAATCTGCATGCTCTGTTATGAGGCCAAGTCCTAAAAAGGTCTCTCTTCCGACATAATGAACATTGTCCACTTTATCTCTATCTCTCTTGAGAAGAACATTGGCGGTAATAATTTCACTTTTATTATTATGGATTGTCGAATTTCCTTGAATCCCTGAATTTTTTAATAATACCGTTTTAAGGAACTCTATGAACTTTTTCAATTATGATTCCTTCTATATGCACTATTATGAATTCCCAAAGGCGGAAGTTTTCCTCCTTTTTTCTTTTGCTCTAATTTATGTTATTATAACATGTTTCATAGCTGGATATTATTTTTTTTTTACCTTTGGCGGTTGGCATTGAATATATAATGCGCTTTCGTTAGTACTTTTTTTTCTTTTTCGTTTTCGATGCGGTTTCTCGTCAACCGAGTTCTTCGTAAAAAGAACCCGATTATTTCGTTATATCGTCCCCCCACTTTGGCGAACAAAAAGACTTTCGCTTCTTTGTTCGTTTTTCTTTACGTCGCTGGGTTTTCCTGGCATTTTCCAAGGATCATAAATGAACGGCCCATATATAGAAGAAAAGAACCGTAACTTTAAAAAACACAAAAAAATTTTAAAATACGAAAAATTCTTAAAAAAAAACGTGTATTTGTGATTGTATATAGTCTCTGTTTCTCTTTTTTTTTCCTCTTTGTTTCTATTTGAAATTCTCTTTTTATTTTTTTTTCTCTTTTTGTCATTACCTATCCGACACATTTTATATATCCAAATTTATCCGTATTACCAACTTCTTTTTCTATTTGTTATTAATTTTTTCAAAATTCAAAAAAATTTGGAAAATTAATAAAAAAAAAGGAAAAAAATTACAAAATTCATACGATTGTGTCTTTGCGCGCGAGAAATGACTGTTTGTAATAAAACTTGACGGGGTTGTGGAGAGGAAAGAGTGTTTGCGAACGGACTTTTCGATATTAACATTAGCAATTAACCACGTTCACAATCTCGATAATAATAACATGCAAATGTCTAAACCGAATATCAACATGTGCCCAGCCTTTGTACGGATGGGGTTTATCAAGTCGATCGTGATTAACATCAAGAAACCCGTCAAACTGTGCAAGTATAATCACAAAGTTTAAAAATACGTCGAGTCTGGCAATGATTTTACTACAATCGAGAAGTTGGGCTATCGGGCATTCTTTGGTGGAACGTTTCATAAAATCTTGCGTATCGAGAACACAGCACAAACCCAATTTAAAGTTTCATATGACATCATATTGAACGTTGTGTAAATTTCTTATCAGACGTTGATCACGTGAATAAGAAGAATTCCCAGTTACTATTATCGTTTTCCCGATAACGATAAATAACAAAAACGCAATTTTCCTTAAAAATGAACCAACGTGATTTTTTATTCACAAATGTGTTTGATGGTTTTAGCGCAAAAAAATTAATTAAATCCATACGATTCTATATATGTACAAGAAGCGGTTCCTGCCCACAAAATATCTTTCAAGTGAAAAACTCTTATGATAGTATGTCAGCGGAAGATTAATTGGAATCTTCGAGACAAATCCATATTCCTTAAATGTTATATAAAAAAACCCTGAATACCATCTCCTTCGCCGATATGTGGCCGATTTCGACGAGATACCTCAAGTGGGAAGCTGATTAATAGGGTAGTTACGATCGATAGCCCAACAAGAAGGGCTACGCTAAAATTACATTTTCCGTTTTGAACTATTGGCGCACTTGTTGCGATGAGATATTGGAAATTGAAATATTGATATAGAGCCCAGAACAGCGTAAAAATCCCCAAGACGATCAGTGCCAAGCCCAATGGAATTGACAGGCTGTCTCCTGACACCGTAACAGGTACTAACGCAAAGCGAAAGAAGACCGCAAGGCCAGTTAATGTAAGCGCTGTACTTAAGCGAAGCCATGAAAGGAACGTGCGTTCGATTGCTGTTAGGAAATGATAAGCAAGAAGGATGTGTTAAAAAGGTTTCTTTTCTTTTCTTTTTTTTTAATAGTTTATATGACGCAATTTAATCTTCATGCTTACATAAACAATCCCTGGCCGTACTGGCTTTATTAAGTAAGACCAGCGTCGTCGGAGAATTGATCTTACTTGAACGCTTTGTCCAGGCGCCGGCCGATATTTCAATGTCTGCAGTCGAGATGTTTGACTCTAGAAAATCAGACTCGACTTTACTCTCTGACCGAAACGTTCCATAGTCAGCCGCATTCTCAATTTTTGGGATCAGCCTTTGGCTATCGCTTGATGAGGGTGATGACATTCTTGACAGGGAGCAATGTGTTCGGGCTAGAACGGAATGATTACACGCCTTGAGGAGGGAAGGAGATGGTCTTGTGAAGGGATGAGGCGGAGGCTTGAGGGATCACCTGAAGAGAAAACGTCGAAGAAGCAAGGGTTTTATTAAAATTTCATTGCCATTTGATTGGACAGATTTCGTAGATTGGCTGAAACTGTGAACAGGAATAGAAGCAGGTATGTACCGCTTATCTGCGATCGACTTTAGAATTACAGGTTTGAAAAATTACATGGTTTTGTGACCCAAAACCAAAAAAAGAAAAGAATTCCCACTCCAAGACACATTGTATCTTTGTAAATCATGAACGAAAACAAGGAAATATCTCTCATGTGGCAGATTATGACTGAAACAAAGAAGCATTTTCCTGTGAAAAAATAGATACATAAAGAAAAAAAAAAAGAAAGATTTCGTTTTTGATAGATATCATTTTCCTACACAGTTATTTGACCATGTTACACAGCATATTAGTCGTCATGCACGACATGGTTTAACATTTTCCGATGGTCATTTAAGTTGCTTTCAGGCGTAGATCTTACACTTATGGACATGTACTATGAAATTTGTTAATCAAGCATTGTCTCACAATATGCGGTACACGCGGTAAATGACCTATTAATGCATAATACGAACATTGATCATGGAATCCTTATTATTTATCAGATGATGGCTTGATAAATGAAAACGTCCAAATCCTTCTTCTCTCCATTGTCGAATATCAAATGGTCGGACTGCGTATCACCTACATGTGGATTCCTTAATTGGTCCATTCGCAAAAAGTATGCTTTAATACTAGTTAAAAGTTTTACCTAGCGTTTTGCATGCAAGTGTATGCAGTGTATTAGAATATTTTGAAAATTCGAAGGCTCGTGATTTCCATTTATGATTCAACGGCGTTGATAAGAACGGTCACACAAAGTTCTAATCATATAATAATTAATGAAACGAGTTTCTTTACTGCGTGTCGTATAAATCCCGATTAATCAAAGAACGTGACAATTTAGCATGGAACGGGTATATACTCATATATCACTACGTGTTTGATAATTAAGAGCGTTCATAAGGCGTCGAGGTTACTGTACAAAAAATTGTTAAAAGAATTATGAGAGCTCCGTATTTGTAAAGTGTTTTTGTAACTTGTCATTTTGGGCAATTTCGAATTTTAATATTGACAAATGCAGACTCGAGAAAAATTGAGGATAAAAAAGATAAAAGAATGGTATTATTTACGGCATTTCAGCAGTTTGAAACATGTAGTGTTGTATATATTTGAGGCACTAATTCGTACCGTTTTATGTGGCATATCCAGTACCGTCATAGCTACAGCGTTGATAGCTTGCGAACAAACTAACATTCCTCCGTTTCTTTGAAGAGGTCACATAACATATTCTCTCTCCGTTTTGCTCATAGCCTTCTCGCGTTCGCGTAACATGGGGTCTTAGTCTAAAAAAATTGCGTGATCTGTACATTTTATCGACGGGCAACAAAATCTGCCAGCGTCCAAAGAAGGAACCATGTTTGTCATCGGACTTGGGTCATCAGATTAGGTTCGGAAAAAAAAAAAAACTCCATGAGAACAGGTTACTTGTAGGAAGCATTGCAGATTTTGTGAGACAGTTATTCTTCGGATTGTCTGTCGGATTGGAAAGAGGCTGGTCAGGTGAGAGTGATGGTCAGAAAACATAATATTCGAGCCATCGATTCACGAGACATCTAAGAATAATATAATTGCTGGAGATGTCATTAAACCACCCGGCTATTAAATCCAACCACATAACCAATGCAAAGGAAAATAGCCACTCGAGTTGAATTTAGATTACTGGTCTATAAATTTTAATTTAATTCTAATATACATATGATGATCTTAATATTACATTACAAATTATTATTACCTTTGCATAAAACGTCTTTGCAAAGAAATATTAATAACGATCTCCGTTCTCTTGGCTTCGGGGGTGTTTTTTTGTCTTTTTATTTTTCTTTAAAGTGCGTGGCTGCTCTATATCGAAAAGATAAAATTTTTTCATAGGGTGGTGGTGTCTTCATTATCGACCAGCTCGGCAGTTGCCAAATTATTAATTCGTGGATATGACATCTTCTCGTCTAACTGATTCTGTGCCCAAACCAGCATTTTCAGCAGACTTGGTAGCTTGGGATCCTTTTCTTGACTTTGCGATGTGAGAATGGCTGCATTCAGTTCGCGTGCTGTGCGCCGTCGTTGTGCAGGGTGGAGCAGATCTCCCACCGGTGATTGATTATTATCCTCAAAAGCTAAAAGGGTCATTGTTCGTTCAAGTTCTTCTAAAAATTCAGGCTAGTTAATGGAAAAAGGTGGGAAGAGGCAAAAAGAAATAACGACAGATTTGCTATTAATATATTAACAAACAATTAATATAATATGATCGTATTATCCGATAGATTATATCTTACATTATCCTCCCCACGAGGAGCAAGTTCTTCCTGAGCAAATTCAAGTGCCCTTGCTATTTTTCCTTGACGAATATATTCAATTAATTGTTGTTGTTGAAGATGAAAATAGAGTCTTGGGTGTGTATCGAGTATCTATCAATTACAGAAATTGTCAGTAGGGTCGTAGAATACACAACTCCCATAACAGATACAAAAGTTTCTTGTGACTCATATTGAAGACTGAAGTTGGTGATTGGGTATCAGCATTGACAACAAGTCTCAGCGTGGTGCATGAAAAAAGGCTTAATCACGGTCCAGCAATTAACAAGCAAAATTTTTGACAAAAATTACCTCTGGATTAAGATCGTTTACTCGTTCGATTGCTTCTTCAACGTTGCCATTTTGAATTGCATTAAGAATCAGCTCTCTATCTTGTATCGATTCCAAATCCGTGTCCAACTGTAATCCGCACTCTTGACTAAACTTTTCTGCCGCATCCTTATAACCCTCAATTACAAGATAATTCATAACGAGCTTATTCAGATCTCTATTGGATAAAAACAACATTAGCATTTGATAGCGCTTCAAAAAAAATCAGCTGTTTTGTTTATCTTTCTCTTTTTCAGAAGCAAGAACCAAAAAGGCTTTTCGTCATTAAACATTCTGTGAGATTCCCACTTGCAAAGTCATCACGAGGACAGAAAAATCCTTCACAACAGACTCCACGACTCACCTTTTGTTTACTTCTACTTCAGATAACTTTTTTTCCCACTCACTTCGTGCCACTACTTTTTTCTGTGTGCTTGACGGTGTGCTTGTCTGCATGATAAAAGCGCGAGTTGTATTAAAGTGGGGACAGCGAACATGGCTACAAATAAAAAGAGGCCAAATACCATCTTGTCTCGTGTATTCTTTCTGCTTTTTGTTGTTCGAATGTGTTAATCGTCTTCTGGTTTGAAAGTCTGAACGATCTGTGTCATGTGACTGAAATACGTCCAATGGTGATTGTTCAGAGTATAGGATATTGCAGTCTTGTTCGAATGCCTCTTTGAGTCAACCTCAGTCTCCCCCATAACTTCGGTGTAGCTTCTTGACATCAGCATCTCTTCAGCTGTATGGATTATCCAGCATACAACACTGAATGGTCATACTATATTAACTGACATTCTATTCACATAATAATAAGTGATCGAATGTGTGTTACACGATCATGTTCGACATTGGATGCTAAAGCGGAGCAGAACGTGATCCTGCATTTGCAGTTTTATTGGCTGCCATACAATTTGACCCAATGGAATCGCGAGAGATCTGCTCCACTCCCATTGATGTTATAGTGGATTTTCACATTAGTATTATCGCATTATCATTTGCATTCTTTCTGGGCTTGTTCAAATTGCGATTAAGAGGTTTCTAAGGTGAATTTTATAGAAGGGTTGCAATACGTAAACTAAAATTCTAAAGCAAGCGCAACGTAGGAATGACATAAGACGCAAGTCGATTAATTATATGGGGCATGTTGCAACAAAACCAGACAAAGTGAACATTTATTATGTGACATAAATGAGAGGCTGATTATGATGTGATTGTAAGATTGACCAGGGTGAATGATGACGTTTTGATGATAAATGGTGCTCATTCATGACTTATGGACTTGTTAATCTTAATGCTCACTTTATCATGCCAGAATGGGATGAATATATAGGACTATCCCTATATATATATAAAATATTAATATGAAACTAATTTACATTAAATCCACCATGGAACCCAAGAACTACAGCACTATTAGAAGTATTTTAAACAAAAAAAAATGCTCCATACGTTTTTAAAATCAATGATACCCAAACTCTCCAGCCATATCTTGCTGAAGATGTCTTGTACTTGAGGTAGAACAAAGGCATGGTCCTCTGTAGAAGCAAAAATCAGAGCCAAAAGACATTGCAGTCCCTTATCACTATTGCCATTGTCAAACAAAAGCAAACCTTCCACAGCCTCCTACTCCAAATGCTTTCCTTCTTGGTACAAACGATAAAAGTTGATAGAGGAGAGTCCATCACTGATGGCATAGTAATAGGTTACATGACCCCGCCATTGCTGTTCATCTAAAATACAACATGCATAATTGTACACTTGCAACAAGTCTTTGCTTCTGAATTGGTGAGTGTTTTTAGTTCAATGAGGAATATAGCTGTGGTAGAGTGCACTTTGAAAGCCCTTTGGAACAAATGATAGGTCAGGAGCATAACCTTTAATATTAAGATAATAATTGCTTTTGGTATTTCAGATCCATATCATGTAAAGCTGGGTAAGTGTTTCTACCTTTTCTTAGCTGTCAGACATTACTGTAGTATGTAGAATGTAACAATGGTAAGACTTTGCATCTTATACATTATCTCTTGTTTATAGCCATGGTGCCAGATGGAGATCAAAGTAAATGTGCAATAGTAGGAAGGGATTTATTTCACACTCAAGTAGAAGATTTCCCACGTCTTCCATCTACAGCGGCCCAACCAAAGAATTGGAAGGAGTTTCAGGAGGTTGATGATCCAGTTATCTTGAACTATCACCCATATATGGCGTCTGGATTACCTATTACTCTCTGTGAACCTATTTTTGCTGATTTTCAGATAGGTTTCAGGGATTGTCAAGTTGACAAGTGTGATGTAGACTTTGCTATTGAACTTTCATGCAAGATGTCATATACATTTCCAGATGAAGATGCAAGGAAAATGGCCTTTTGCCTCCTTTTAAGTCAATATCTTAAAGAGACATTCATAAGTTATGCCTTTGAAAAAGTTAGTAAAGCTGGAAAAGGTCCAACTACAGATGGCAGTATTATGTACAGTATGTTAGAGGGAACATTGAAGCACCTTTGTTAAACTTAGAAGTAAAGCCAGAGCTCGGAATGGGCCATGCATGTGCTTATATCCAGTCATCAGCATACTATATTGAATTTATCAGAAAGTTTAAACAGGAAGCATCTCCTGTTATCAAATCTCGTCTACCAGTATTCCTTCTGTATCTAACAGGTATTGTTTTGTATACACAATATAATTGTTGCTCTTTAAGTTATGTTGTTAATTTATGTTCATATGTAGGTCCTTGGTTGGGGATAGCTGGTGCTGTCTTTTGGAAAAAGCAATATGTGAGCCTTTAATCCCAGTGGGATCTCAAATGGCGAGTTGTGTGCCAAGACTAGAATATATTGAAAGGTTCTCTGACAAAAGACGCGTCTGGTTAGCTGAGATGCATGATGAGCAGGGCATCAAGCAGACAGTCATTGTAAAGTTTGTATGTAAGTACTCAGAAAATGCCCACCGCAGGTGTGCAGAATTGAAAATTGCACCTGCTCTTGAATCAGTTGTGGACATTGGTTATGGGTGGAAAATAGTTATCATGGAATTTCTTGAGGGATTTGTTTTTCTTGATAAACTTGCAGCTGGTGAGATTGCTATGACACAGCAGGCAGTTTTGACAGCAATGAACACTCTTCACAAAAATGGCTTGGTTCATGGTGCAGTGAATATTCTCTGGAGAAGTGGAGAAGTAAGATTTGTTGATTTTGACTGGGCGGATGGAGAAGCAAGGTACCCTGGAAACATGAATCCAGGGATCAACTGGGCTAATGGAGTTGGTCTTCATAAACTTATCAGAATTGAACATGACCAGCATCTTGTTAAATCTATATATAAGAATGTTGAGTGCACTCAGAAGAAACTTTCTGAATGGCATCCAGACTACTGATTACCTTGGCCTTATTTCTATGTGCTAGAGAAAGGCACCCAGCTTGCTATGATAAATTGAGATTTTCATTTTGGACTCTTTAGAAAGAATGGGAATTAATTGTAAATAGATGGATCATTATAAAATAATTTTTTTAATGAGATAGACCCATCATTACATGATGGCATTCCATCTTGCTGCTGTGCTTTGTGTGCTGGGGGGGGGGGGTGTGTTAATAAATGCATATGGTTTTATGAATACTGTAGTGTGGTGATGTATGAATGAAAATGTTTGATCATCATTATCATCTGCAATATGAATTTGAGATGCATTGATATTAGTGTTTAGTAGTTCTTCCTGGTTAATGAATTTATTTGTTTGGGATGGAATTATGCAACAAGACCTATGCCAATCGATTTAAAATCTCAATCAACACATGGATTATACGTGAATTATAAAACTAATATATAGGATTATCTGTATATGAATAATAATAATTACGACAGTTTACTGAATATGAAAAGACAATCCGTTTTTTAGAGACAGGTTGCGACTGTGGTTGCTCAAAAATAATTCCGAGAGAAAAGTTTGCTGAATTACGTGAAGCGTTTCAAGCTCTCTCTAGATCCGAACAAGACATATTTATAATGGCCCAGTTGAAAGCGATGAATGGCGGAGAAATAACTGCCAGTCGACGTCTTAAAAGGAAATCGCGTTCTAATAAGAGAACTTTTTATTATTGAGATCACAATACGCCCCTCTGTCAGAAAACGTATCTCAATATGTTAGGAATTGGCCGTACGCACTTCGAAAATGTCAGAAACCATCTAGCAACGAATGGTATCATACCGCGCGTTCATGGTAACATAAAACGAATGCCGCGATGGAAAACCAAAATCACCATTGATATAACCGTTGCTACTGCCGTGAAAATTTTTCTCAAAAACTATGCTGAAATTCATGGACTACCAAGCCCTGGTAGAAATGTCAATCGCATTACTCAATCGCTTACACTCTTGCCAGCTGAAACAAGTTATAAATCGGTCTATCGCGATTTTATTGCAGGTCTCGAAAACAATAGCACGTTGAAATTGTTAAAATATGATGCATTTCGCAAGTTATGACACCAATTAACGCCGTATATTCAAATCATGAGTCCAAGAACGGATTTATGTGACGCGTGCCAACATTTCGGAACGGCTTACAGTATAATGCTCGTAAGGAAGAAGAAGCGAAAGATTTACTGAAAAAATTCAAAAAACATTTAATTAAAGCTAAATTAGAGAGAAACTATTACAACAAAAATACGAAATTAGCAGAAGAACAAAGAAAATTAGTAGACGAAAATTATTGTATGGCAGGAGGTAAAGTTGATTATTGTATCGTTGACGCGACTGCTCATTACAGTTACGATTGGGCACAAAACGTTCACGTGCCCATTTCGATCAACAGGTAAGTAAAATTTATTACCTCAGTCCGCGTAAGGTGCATTTATTTGGTATCCAAGATGAAGCAGTACGCGAACAGATTAATTACGTTCTCGATGAGGACGAAATTATCGGCAAAGGTCCTAATGGCACGCTAAGCATGGTATTCGATGGAATTAAACGATTGAATAAAGGTGAAAAAAAAATTAAAAATTACTTGTGACAATGCGGGAGGACAGAATAAAAATAATGCTACCATTTGATTTTATCTGTATTTGATAATTTGCGGTTATTATGATAGCATCGAATTAAATTTTATGATACCTGGACATACTAAATTCAAGTGTGATGGTAGTTTTGGATTGGTTAAGAAACTATATCGCAAAACAACGGTAAATTGTGTAAACAATATCGTTGAAGTTGTGAAAAAATCGAGTAACATTTCTAAATGCCATTTAGATGCTCTTGAAGTAGCTAGAAAATGGAGAGTAAGGCAAAGCAAAAAAAAATGACAACTTAGAAGAGCTTCGAAAAAAATAGAGATGCTGGAAAATGTTGTGGCATGGCAGAATTATTTAACAAACAAGCAACTTCAAGAACTGTCAACTTTGCCAAAGAAACAAAACAAAATTAAACTCCTAACTAACAAAGTCAAAAGCAGAAGTTAAGCAAGCAAAAGTAATAACTCAAGAAAAGTTCAACACTTACATATTACAAAAGAATAAATAATGAAGTTAGAATACCAAGCTATTGAGTTAAGAAGAGGAGATAAATGACATTGCAATTTTTGCTTTTTTGAAAAAGAAAAAAAATTTAAATGCTACTTACAAAATATTATCTTACAATACAAGCAATAATGATTATAGTGACATTGCTTATATCTAGCGAGAGCTTGAAACGCCTCACGTAATTCGGCAAAATTTTCTCTTGGAATCCTTTTTGAGCAACCACATTTACAACCTATCTCCAAGAAACGCATTGCTTTTTCATATTCGGTTGAACCGTTATAATTATAATTTTCCATATACAGGTATTCCTATATATAATTTTATTGTTCATGTAGAATCTATATGTGCTTTAAGTAGGGGGTCTAGGTCAATATTGATGACTGCAGTTTTGAACCATACAGGTATGGTTAACTTCTTGAATTGGTAGTAAGGTTTTTAGTAAAGCAACAGCACGATCATACTAACACAAATGAATGCAGAACTAATCAAACCATGTCACATCAATCAACAGTAACACACTCAACTGAACAAAGTTGATTTAGTTTAAATGTCTGTTATTTTTATTTGGACTAATGCTCGAGTTACTGTAGAGTCCATGAAAAATAAAAAGTAAAAGCTTTTACATGAAGTTATTAGATAAGCTTGATTTATCTGAACCATGCATGATCAAGTATATTACTTGTATCAACACTCTTATTTCTCAAATCGTCTAAGAACTTCTTCCCAACTTCTGAATTCACTATATTAAGATTTCTAAGCATTTTCCCAAACTGGTACAAGTCAGACTGTGATGTATACTTGTTATTACTCATGAGTGTTGCACCATCCCAGTCCATTAAACGTTCAGATGCTTCTAATCCATCTGCACTACCATGCTCAAAATCAATAAGAGCATACCTATAGTTTCTGATGTTAGGAACAAAGACAACATTTGAAATCCGAATGTCACGATGAACGTAACCATTTTTATGCAGCCAAGTTAAGCCAGTAAGCACACTATGTGCCATTTCACGAACTTCATTTTCACTACTTAATTGAAAGTTCTGGCCCCGTGTTTCAAATACAACCCTACACTCACTGGACAAAAGTCTACGTAATTTTTGTCGATCACATAGTAAAACATATGAAAAATCTATTTTTTCGAAG